ACAACAATATATATATAAGCACAAATAGATAGTGTAATAATGTTTTAAATAAAATTATACTGAAGTAATTAAAGTAAATAAAAAATAATATTAAATAGTACATTTACTCAGGAAGGAAATCAAATATTTTATTTGTCATATTTTTTAGTTTTTTGGATAACATGTGCACTAATAAATGAGAAGTTTATAATTGTTTATAAAAAAAAAACTTCTTGCTGTTGCTTTTTTCTGAAAATCTGATATACTAAATTCGCTAAAATTAAGTCTTCGTCTGCATAAATGCAGTTTGAAATTACTTTATTTTTCTCAAAAATAAATAATTAATCAATCAAGTATAAACAATAAACATCTTTTTTCAACGTTACTTTTATTAGGGGAATGTAAAGGTAAGCCGTGCAACAGTGTACCTTGTAGGAATGGAGGTACTTGCAAACAAACGGATGTCGATAGCTTCCAGTGTTTTTGTGCAGAAGGATTTTCAGGTATTTCAAATTCATTCTCCTACTTTTAGTAAACTTCATAATCTTCCATTCAGTCAAATTAATTTTTTTAAATTTCTTTCTGTAAACTAAGATAGCATAATATGAAATAATCATTATTTGGGTAACGCAGAATCTAAATTTTAAAACAAATATTTTTTTCCCCTCTATTTAGTCAAATCCATTCCACTTCTTTTAGTATAATTTATTATCCTCCATTTAGTCAAATTATTTTTTTTATTTCGTTTTGTAATCTAAGATAGCATTTTATGAAATAATAATTATTGGGGTAAAGCAGAATTTATACTTAAAAATATATTTATTTTAAAAAATTATCATTTTTAATATTATTACAGGAGACATGTGCCAAAAATCCGAAGATCCATGTGCCAGTTTTCCTTGTGCAAATGGTGCTACTTGCGTTACGCTCCCCAATCATGAATTTTCGTGCACATGTGATAAGGGATACAGTGGCCGTTTCTGCGAACACAGTAAGTACTTTTTTTTAAAACAAATAAAACTCTAATAACTGAACTTAAGTTTATGGAAAAACTTGAAATATTGTGATAAGATGCTTCCTTCCCAAGGAAACGATTTTACATCGGATATTGTTACTAGATATTAAAAATGTCTAGTAACATACATAGTAACATATCTAGTAACTTCCTGTAGCATATCTAGTTACATGCAGAAGTCAAAATTTTTTATGGTTTTTCCACTGATGGACCAACATAATCTTGATGCTAATCATTAATAATTCCATCATGAACCATTATATTTTTTGTTAGTAACCAACGTAAGTAACCAATGTAGGAATTCAGATTGATTTGTGATGATCCAACATAAGAATAGCAACTTGTTTTGATGGTTTGTTCACGTTGAACCAACGCAAATTTCCATCATAGTATCTTAGAAATCAAATGTTAGAACGATTTTGAACCACCTTCTCCCCAATGTTGGAATTTGGACTGATTTATGATGGGCCAACATAAAAAAGCAATTGTTGTGGTTTTATATTCCTGCTGAACCAACAATAATTATTATTAAACCATCATAAAAATGCCTCGTTGTATCATTATGGATGATCACGAATTTCCATCGTATTATCTTAGAAATCGAATGTTGAAACGATCATGAACAACCACCATCTCAATGTAGGAATTAAGACTGATTTATGGAGGTCCAGCATAAAAAAAATCGAACTGTTCCGATGATTCCTGAGGACCAACAAGAATTTCAATTAAACCATCATTGAAATGTACAGTTGGAAATATCATGGACCATCACGGATCATCATGGATTGTTGGTCCTTGAGAGTCAAACATTTATTGATAGTTAACCATCATAGTATTAAAGTAGCATTTTCCATTATGGAATGATGGCAGTTTGTTGGCATATCCATGTTGGCTATCAAAAACCATGAACATGCAATGGAAAATTTTGGATGATGGTGACCATCAAATGATGTTGGACCGTCATGAAAGGCACTGAAACTAACTTAAACCATCAAAATGTTTTTGTTGGGACTATCAAGAATTTTGATTTGGGTATCCAGTAACATAACCTATCTAATAACATAACAAAACATATCAATTAACATATCTAGTATTCCTTGCATTGTACTAGATAATTACTTTACCGAATTCCTGATAGAAATTACGAACTTTTACTTTGAATGAGAATCACGCAATTTTTCAAGAAAAACGTCAATATGAAGTAATATTCAGAACAATTAGATAAAGGTCATTATTAAATTTCGCTATTTAATATGTTGCCATTTTAAAGTAAATAAACGTTTTAGAAATGCATTTTTTTTATTCACTTCTATATTGTAATGCCTCAATTATCTTTTTTGAAAAGAAAGTCGTTGATCTCCTGTAAGCCTTTATTAACAAAGTCTCAACTGTGTTTTTTTCTTCTTATCTTCACCTAAAGCAACAAAAGCCAACAGACCCACACTCGGCTAAATTAGCGCATAATAGAAGTTTTATTTGTTTATTTCAAAATATGTAAATGAAATCACAAAATACTTTCATCTTGTGAAGTAAAAAACAAGTAATATAAAAAAAATTTAAGTTAATTCTTACTTAGGTCAACAAAAAAAAATTTTTTTTCAGTTTGTTTTTATTAAATAATTACAAATTTTTTCTCCCATATAAAGCTAAAATAAATTAATTAAAATAAATTTATTAAATAATATTTGATAAAAACTCTATGAACATCTAGTGTCATCCACTACAAGCTCTAAAAAATGTATTGGAACTTGAGTGGCTGAACAAGAAGTATTTTATGAACGATTGAAAATTTGAACAAGATATATAAATACATATATGTAGGGAGAGTGTGAACTAATAGTAACAATTGGAAAGAAAAGCGTGCGTTAACAGGCAACTATAAAAAGTATAAATTGGGGGACGTGGACCACACGTCATGTTCTTTATTGAATTTATCTGACACAGCAAATATAAAATAATTAAATAGTCAAATGTGAGCAATAAATTATATTTTTTTTTGTTCAAATAGAGCTAGCTATACGTTGGAAATTATCACTGACGTTATTTTTAAAGCATGCGAAAAACTAAATCTCTTAAAGTAAAATTTAAAGCAATGACTAACACTTAATCCATCAGAAAATTCCATTTCGTTTTTCGCTCATCCCTATTTAATGAATGAATTTATATTTGAACATCGTATGTACAACAGTATGAACATCGAGTGTCATCCACTACAAGTTCAGAAAAAATGTCTTTGAACTTGAGTGGATGACTAAAAAGTATTTTTATTAAGTATTGAAGATGTAGGGAGAGTGGGAACTAATTGAATAAGATGCTACATCGCATAATATTGTATGAAAATGTTCTTATTTTATTTCTTTCGTCAGAGCCTTCCAAACCAGTGGTCATAGAAGATGTGTACATACCAGACCTAGACGGTGCAGCCTTTCTAGAACTTCCAACCCTTCCAAATGTAGGCCAAGAATTCGTTATTGAATTGTGGTTTCTTTCCCGTTCCAAGGATGGAATGCTTCTGTACAACGGACAAGAATCTTTGGGAAGAGGAGACTTCGTGTCTCTTAATTTGGTGGATCGATACATTCAGTTTCTTTACGATCTTGGCAGCGGCGTAGCCAATATCACGTAAGTTACACTGTTCAACATTGTTTTAAGTTAATTACCTCAGATAAGAGCTTTGGATGGTAAAAGTGGGAGAGGCGTAATCAATATCTAAGTGGCCTTGTGCTCCAGTAGATTCAGTGTTGTAATTTGCTTAAATGTTATTATTTGTGGTGCTTAATTTGTTTATTCACATCATAACATCAGCTAAGAGATTTAGTTATTCTAATTAGATATAAAGTGTAGTAAATATTTTCAAAATTCAATTGTGGGGGCTATTTTAACCTAATGAAGCAGAATTTTTATTAAACATATTTTTGATACGTGTTTCATTATTTTGTATTAATAAGTGAAGAATATTATGTCTAGCATTTTAATAATTTGCGGTTGTGAAATGCAGGGTGAAAAATCGGTGTACTTTTATACGTTAAAGATAAAATCTTCGATCTGGTCTCACTTCCAAACATTTTTGTTTTTCAAATTTGTACTTATTTGCAATTATTTAGATCTAAGAGAAATAGTTATGCATCATTGAAACTTTTTTAATAAACAAAATCAATTATTGATGAATTTTTAAATATGAATGGAAAAAAAATGCAGACTACTTTTTTTTTAATATTATATCTTAGTACAAATATTATGCCGATAATCAAACAGTTTTTGTTTGTAATTAAAATTACCAAAATATATCTTTGTTTGTAATTAGAGCGACAGAAAAAATATAGATAAAAGTCACACCAGTTTCTCATCTGCGTCAAAGGGCTAAAAGCATTTCTGATGTAAAAAAATCTCTTTTACACTCTTTCTTTAAATACCAATTTAAATGCGTAGTTAGTTAAAATATTACAATTTAATAATTACTGAAAAGAAAATGTATTAATGAATGAAAACGCGTAAAACACATATAGTTAGTTCACAAATCGTTATTTAAATAAAGAAAAAAGAAAAAATAATTCAAAAAAATCACTAATAAGGAAAGTGGGACTGATTTATCTATATTTGCTGATTGCCTGAGGATTCAATTATCAGAAACGGATTTATGTTGCCTCGGGCTATCAAACTGGTTTCATCTCGCTGTAATGGAAGTTGTTCCAATCCATATGACAGAAGGAAAGAGTTTGTATGGTGGAAATATCTGTGTGTACTCCAGTTTTCATAGTGGAGGTAAATTCATTGCAGTTCTTGTATAGGCCTTGACCGTAGAAGTACGGATTTCTGGTACATTTGTGCTGCTTACGACAGAGAGATTTGAACAAAATTAACTTAAAAAAGAATTGTCGTTTTATTTAAGAAATATTATTAGGAAATACATTAAAAGATTAAGTGATTAACTTTATAACAGTTATATGACCATAAAAATATCACAAAATAAAAGGATGCTCCCATAATAGGATAAAGAGATACATTCTTCTAACATAAAGATTTTTTTGTGGAAAGTTAATTAATGTCCTAAAGAGTTAAGTAATAAATAATTAACTTGAAATATTTAACTTAAGGATAAAGTTAATTAATTAAGGATAAACTTCCTAGTTCTATCTCCAAGAAGATTAAAAGTGATAAAATTGATAAAATTAAAAGTGATAAAATTGTTCCGTACAGACAGTTAGGAGCATGTGAAGAGATACATAGTTGGCGATTTATCGAAAGATAAATTAGCCAAAAATAAAGCCTGTCCAGAGTTATTAATATTAAATTTTAAATAATCTCACTACAGTTTAATCACAAAAAAGGCAGAATTTAAGATTACCCAGTATTCGAAAGGTATGTAAAGAAAACTGTTACATTAATTGATAAGAAAATAATAAAATATTTATATTTGCTTTTTATAAAATGTAATAAAATTTAAATGATTGGTTCAATTAATTTAAAACTGAATTATACATGAGTAAAAATAAATAATTTATTAATTTAAAGAAAGTTTAAAAGGTAGAAAATATGTACTGCCTATTATGGCAACACACTCGCTTTCCTCACTGGTGATTCGATAGAATTTAATAGTTATTTTGTTTCTCTCTCTCTTTAATATTGATTTTCAAAATTTAATTTAGGAGTTTTTTTACTTGATTTCTGACATGGAATCTAAAAAAATATTTAAGAGCAAATAATAAATAATACTTTCAATTTATGTATAGTTGAAAAGTTGTTTGTCTTATCTTTCACCAAAACTTTAATCTGAATAGAAAACTATTACTTTTTTTATAATTTAAAAGAAATACAAACTCTAAGTAGGAAGCGAAACTGAACACAAGATCAAAAATTACAGTAGGCAAAGTATTGATTCGTAAAGTGTAGCAAAAAAAACCAACTTTTCTCTTAATCGATTTTTCTCTTCCAAGTGTTGCACTCCATTATAAGCTCTCAGTTCAAACACATTTAGAAAGTAAAACCTTAATAATGACTTGTTCAAAAAGAAAGAAAGTAATCTTTCGGATTTCTTCTTTTTGTTTTCTTTCCACGCCGAAAGCATTCTTCCATCAGTTTATACTTTTTCTTCTTTTTATCTAACAACGATCGAATTTTGAACAAATCTTATTTTATACCAACAAACGATAAATGGATAGGTAACAAACTTAACCTCATGTGCACACATTATAATTTGGATAACAGTATTTTTAAAATAAAATGCATTAATGCTTTACTAACATGCTATAATTTTTCAAAAGTACATTTTATTTAGTAATTTAAATATTTAAATTTAATAAACATGTACCTCCTTAGATACCTATCAACTTGTTTATTTATTTATTTTTAAATAATAAGTTTTCAGATACTTTGAGATTTTCTTCCATGTTATAAATAATAAAGCTGAAACGCCATTAAGAGTGCCTTATTGATTCTTTTGAAATCATACAAGTAATAAAATAAGCATACTGTTTTAGATCTCATATTAAATGCTGCTGTGATTTAATGATATTTTTATGCTAAACACAACTCACTGATATTTTTTGCCAGCATTGTTAGAATTCTTATTCCAAAATTAAGGTAAAATAACCGGCAGCAGTCTGTCCACCTGATTAACCGTAAAGTTTTTTACTTTTACGGTTTCGATGCCTTTAACAACTGGTAATAAACCTTGAATACAAAACTATAAGGCTTTTTTAACCATTTACATCTAGTATGGTTTCAAAAATTTAACTGGACATAGCTAGGTATTTTTCGTTAGGTAATGGGTGTAGAAGAGTGCAGGTCACTTTAAACACTTCACGAGTTGAAGATATTGGAAGAAATAAAGCTGTGTCAACTCTGGGACTGGAACACAAGCTCTGTCGGTCATGAGATTAAATTCTGGTTTTTTAACAGTATTAGTTAAAAGCAGTTAATAAACGGCTTTTCTCAAAGTTAACAGCTTGATTACCGTCTTATTTATGGTTATTTGACTATTTTGTTCGAATAGGGAAAAATAGCAATTAAATAAATTGTTATGTAACCCTTTTTTCCGATAAATTTCTAGCTGACTAAAAGTCTGATTCTAACTAAAAGTTATGATTTTTTTAACTAATCGAAAATAAGTGTTTCACAAATTAACAATGCTTACTATTATTCTATTCGTATATTATTATACTTGTCTTAATACTTTACCTGGTTCTATTAGTTTAAACAATAGATTGAAGCATTTTTTTTTCTTTTGGAATTATTGGGTAGTAAAAATTGCTCCAGGCTTGTATCAGTTACACGCGAGAAGATTCGATCTCTTTCTTTTACTTAAAAAAAGAAAGAAATATATCATTTTGCTTATTTTCGAAACCACGCTGCTCATCATATGATGATTCCACTTTTCATATAGGTAATAGATCTAAATTTACCTAATTTTAATTGCCTAGAATGAATTTATCCCTATCTTTATTATATTTCCCTTTACTTTGATTGCATATAAAATGACCTAACGTTTGCCCAAATCTGCAAAATCAAGAACAGTAAAAGAAAGCAGTTTCGTTGATATTGTAAACCTAATACAAGCATTTATTATTCAACTATAATTTAGATTTGCTATTCGCATGCGAATAATATTATAAAACTTATTAATACAATTCAATTTTACTCTATATTATTTAATAATATTTGTTTTAAACAATTACTGACAACATTATAGTCTAGCAGCTAAAATTATAAATAATCATCATCAGCTCAAAAATAAATTTTCCGAAGTGAATTAAGGTTTTATAATTTTTCCTGAGTTCAGTTTTTGGGAATTTTGCAGTCGTATATTTCTTTGGTGTCGTATGGTACATAGTTTATGTATGATTTTGCAGCTGCTTGTCTGTTAAAAGTTTTGATTTTATGAGTGTAGTTATAGATTTATTAAATAAACATTTTACTTTCAAAGCGCAAATATCAACAGAAATTTAGAAAATGAATTTTCAGAAGTCCAGCAATTGTATGATGTCATAAATGCTATAAATCGAAAGTTTTCGTTTTCAGAATTGTAGGAAGTTGTGGTATATTATCCATTTAAAATTTTGCAATTAGGAATGTAAGACACGTACGATATTAATAAGCGAAATTTTTACTTTCAGAAAAGAACCACTTGTAACGTATTAATGAATTGAAATTTATTTTCTCGAAGTTGAGCAGTTGTGTTGTATTTTTAGATTTCTTTCAAAAATGTTGCAAAGTATTATCCACTGAAAATTATACTTTCAGGAGTATAGGAGAGTAGTTCAATACTGAAGGAGTGTAGTTCAGGGAGTTAGGTGATGTTTGATATAATAAATCGAAATTTCTATTTTTTGAAGTTCAGAAGTTGTATTGTAGGTTTTAGATTTGTTTCATAACTACTGCATTGTATTATCCACTAGAAAATATGCTATCAGGAGTATAGGAGAGTAGCTCACGTCTGAATGAGTGTAGTTCAGGTGGTAAGGAGAGTTGTGGAAAGGAGAAGTGATATAATCACTCGAAATTTCTATTTTTCGAAGTTCAGAAGTTGTATTGTAGGTTTTAGATTTTTTTCATAACTGCTGCATGGTAGTATCCACTGGAAATTATGCTATCAGGAGTATAGGAGAGCAGTTCACGTCTGAATGAGTGTAGCTCTGGTGGTAAGGAGAGTTGTGGAAAGGAGAAGTGATATAATCAATCGAAATTTCTATTTTTCGAAGTTCAGAAGTTGTATTGTAGGTTTTAGATTTTCTTCATAATTGCTGCATGGTATCATCCACTGGAAATTATGCTATCAAGAGTATAGGAGAGTGGTTCACGTCTGAATGAGTGTAGTTCAGGTTGTAAGGAGAAGTGTGATATAACCAATCGAAATTTCTCTTTTTAAAAGCTGAGCAGTTGTATTGTATTTTTTGATCCCTTTCAAAAGTGTTGCATGATATTATCCTCTGGAAATTATGCTTACAGGAGTGTAGTTAACGTGTAAGAGAGTAGTTCAGGTACGTATAATCAACCATGATGTATGATATAATGATATAATCAACCAAAATTTCTATTTTCAGAAGCTGAAGTTGTAATGTGTCAAACGTTCCTACTTGAGCACTGTGGATATAACATAATATTAAATGATAATTTCATTTTCAGGAGTGCATCACCAATAAATATAGATCAATGGCATGTCGTAAGAGCAACGAGGATTCTCAGAAGAGGTTCTTTGCAACTTGATGATGGTCCAGTTGCCACAGGAGAATCTAAGGTACAACTGCCAGTTATCCAATCGCTGAAATATTCTTATTTTTTACATATAAGACACAGATTTAATTTTCCTCTTAATTTATTTCCAATATTTTTAAACACCTTTATCCGAGCCGTGATGGCTCAGGGGGCAGAGCGTTCTCCTTCCATTGAGGCGAACCGGGTTCGAATCCCAGTCGATACGAATTCCGCATCCGGCTTGCACCGACCACAGTGCTGACGTGAAATACCCTCAGTGGTAGACGGATCATGGGTTAGAGTTACCTTTCTGTCAGGCTAACCGTGTTAGGTTCTCGTGGTCTTCCTCTCCATTTAACGCAAATGCGGGTTAGCTCCATTAAGGAGTCCTCCACGAGTTTCTCCCAATACTCGATCCAGGAGTTCCCTTGTCTTCTGGATAGGGTTCAAAATTACAAGGCTACGGAGTTGAGCATTAGTAGTCGTAAACCCATTAAATTGGGTAGGCTGCTCAACGACGATTATAATATAAAATAAAACACACCTTTATCCGTACATTATACCTATATGCATGCGAAATTCAAATACAGAAGGATTAAAAACTATTCATCCTGACGCTCTTCAAGGTTTCGACTGAAAGGTTTTAGCTATGGTGGAAAAAAAAATTTCCCAAGTATAGTAAAGGGGCTATGTATTTATTTATAAGACCATCTGCAGCAACACTGTGAGGAAAATTTATGTATAAATATTTTCACTACTGAAACGGCACAGGATAGGAAAAAACATGTATAAATAATTGCAAAATTGTAGAGCATAGAATATTTATAGATACTTTGAAGGTATTAATGCGAAGAAAAAATGCTGAAAAAGTGCCTTTTGTTATCTGAGATTTCTTCAAGTGTAGCGTACCATTATTATATTAGAAAGAGAAAAATATAACGAACTTTTTCAAGATAGCTTTATTCTTGACATTAATGCATATCTTAAACTTTTAACACAGAAAATAAACGTATCTTTTAATGAACAGTAGTTTCGTTTTCTTTCTCAAATCGTTTCTCTGCTTTACATTCTAATAAAATAAGATAAAAACAAATGCATGCATAAATTGTTCCCTTCTTTAAATGATAGTGCACAAGGTGATTATTGGTACTATGATAATAATTCTCTACAAATTTGGAATTCACTTTTTTTCCAATTTCGCATGCATATCAAGATTACTGTATCATCGGGCGTTGTAAAAATCAAATCAAGATAATTTAATGAAAATAACTTTTTTTCGATGAATTTTGATTTTCAGCCTTAAAAATATTAAGGTTAGTGACAATGTGAAAAATGTAATGTCAATAATGTATTCTGAAGTTTTTTTGGGATAAATTAGTCGGTACATAATTTCTTTCGAATGCTCAATATTTTATTTTTTGTATTTGACACCTTATTTCTCAACTTTATTACTCTACTCTTAAAAATTAATCAGCAGTTTATGAAACACGTTTATCGTTTACGTCATTACTTTCTTGCAAAAAATAACTATAATAATTACTTTTTTTCCATGATTTAAACTAATATCGATCGGACCATTTTTGAATTAATCGTTTAACATAAACAAATACAACACATACAAACTTTCCACAAAATATTAAGAATGCTTCTTACTTTTTTTTCTTTCACTGCTTATATAATGCCCACTCATTCTGCAGCTTTCTTGTAGCAGCAGTTTGCTGCATGTAATTCTTTTAATTTTTGAAGCTATTAAACAGAACAGAAGCTTGTAAATAATTATCTAAAATTAAGATTTTTTTTGAAGTTCATTCTTCATATGAATTTAACAATCTGCAATTTGAAGTTTACTTTGATATACATAAATAAATTCAAATAAATATTGCCAAATTTATACTCCATTTATTTATCTAATCCAAAACAATTCATTGTCTAATTATTTAATTGTTTCCTCAGGTAATGTGTTGCTTTCTATTTTAAAACGTTGATATTTTAGGTCACAAATCCTTTTTAATTTCAAGAAATTGTGGCTATTATCCATAATGACATTTTACGAAATTTTCTTAATTTTCCCAGAAAACACTACCGACATATTAACAAGTGCAGTGTGTCTGCCACTAAAAAAATAAAATTCTAATTCACTAGTATGTAAGACATGTTAACTCGATTCTATGATCGGGTACCTTTTCATAGATGTTGACATTGTCGATAACTACTATCCCCACATTGGTGATCCAGGCATGATGTGAACACACCTATTTCGACAGTAATGCTCACTTCAATCTGAACACACCTACTTCAATGGATGGTCCACATTGAACAGTTGACTCGCGCTGTTGCTACTCAGTCTCGATCACACACAACGTCGCCCTGTATACTAAAGGCAACACAAGAGCGACCACGAACGTAAACTTAATACAGCTCTCACAATCAGCACTGAAAAATACGGTGATCTTAATACAGCTCTCCCGGCTTCTCACAAAACATTAATGAATCAACTAGTGGTATCCGTTCATCGAAATCTATCACAGCTATAATTGTGGTGGTGGGGGAGTACTGGAGTGTGTCTACCACTATAAAAATATAATTCCTATTTTCTAGTCTATAAGGCATGTCAACTCGATTCTATGTAGGGGTACCTTTTCATAAATGAAGATCGACATGGTCGATGTGACTCTTCCCACAACGAGACTTAAAATAGTTATGAATAGCTGTTACAAACTCACAGAACATTAATCGTTAAATATTTTTAATTTATATGGCAAAAAAAGCCTTTGAAAAAGTCTTAACTGATTTTAAAATTATATGTTACGTATTGTTGCGCTAAAAGCAATATCCAAATATGAATTCTTGTTCCACAGGAACCACTCAGTGAATTAAATCTCGATCTTCCTTTATATTTGGGTGGTTATCGTCATTTATCCACCATTAATCCTGAATCTGGCATCACTTCAAGATTTAATGGTGCTTTTCAACGTCTTGTTCTAAATGGCGAAGTGGTGGACGATTTGAGAAAAGTGGCGAAATCTTCTCAAGATGTGGGCCATTTCTACGGTCAACCATGCGGACCCAATCCATGCCATAATGGAGGGATGTGTTTGCCACAACTGAACAATTTTCACTGCAAGTGTCCTGTGGCCTATACAGGTCTATGGTGTGAGAAATGTAAGTATTGATCCAAAATGTCTGTTCTCAAAGCATATGTGTTTAGATTAAACATCAAATTTTTAGATATCTGCAATTCAATCCTTAACAGCTTCCCTTACCAATTTTTAAAAAAATTCAAAAAATCAAGATATTTTTTTTATTTCATTAATAAATACAAGGAACTAAAACAAAACATAATACAAGCTTTGAGTTGAAATTTTTATCTTTTTATGAGAAAAAAACACTTAATTTACCATCAGTTTACTATCCCGAGTTATTTCGGGCGAATAAAAAAAATTTAAATATTATAATTTTTAAACAAGGGAGAACACAAAGTGATACTTTCTAAACGCGAGTGAAGTGACACGCCATTTTTTACTATTCTTTTTTTCTGTGTAAATTCAGCAACCATTGCATATACAATCGTACAAAACACGCGTGTAGTCCCACAATCCAATCGCAAAACTTCTCAAACCTCCAAATCAATCACAGCGGGTTTACTTTTTTCTTCCGGCCGTGTAAAAACGTGATAAAACAAAACGTGCTGACAAATTCTGCTACGCCCGAGTTTACTCGGGATAGCAAATTTTTCACATGAATAACCATTTTGTATAGATTTATTTCACTTCTACCCGAATTAACTCGGGATAATAAGGAAAACTATTAAATAGATAAGAACATTGTAAAATAAAAAATATAAATTTTTTTTCCATATCTTTATGTAGTTCGACAGTTTGCAAATTTTTATTCACCTCAACTTCTAAAAAAGTGTCAAAGCAAAAAATTTATATGTCTTTCAAATACAGCTGCAAAGAAAATATTTTAACTCTCAAAAACCGTCGTTTCTTAAACTTAGTTACAAATATTTTAGATAATTATATGTAGCACAACCCGTTATCCAATATATCCCGTTCCAAAATAATTGGATATCATATAGATTTGGGATTTAAAATCTCCGCAGACTTGTTTTCAAATAGGCATATTATCAAATTATGAGTATATATTTTTTATTTGTTTCTTTAAAAACTTACAGTGTAATTCCCTCAAATGACCCCTACATTTGGATGGGTATATTCCTCTAATCTATGTATTTTCTAACTCCATATACTTTTTCTTACGTATATTTGTATTTCACTTCTATAAATAAGCTTCACTACAGGAATACGACCGGAGCACCACAACTTTGATATAATTTGATTTATTTCAAATAAATAATGATTCAATACAAAAAGTAGGCATAAGCAAAACTCTAAAGTTATAGTTTTAATGAAAATGAATATTTTGAAAAAAGTGTGTACATCAAGTATTAATTTACTCCAGCAATTTGTTCATTTATTTTCAATGAAAAAGAAATAAGTGAATCGAGCTACTTTTAATCAAATTACAAGTAAGTTATTCAATTTATATTGAGTTGTGTTTTAAATAATTAAATAAATATCTGAAATACTAAGTGAAGTTTCAGTGAGAGAATTTTTACTTGAACAGAAACAGCTATAACATGGGCTGAAACTGCTAAACATGAATAGAAACAGATAGAAGTTAGTTACGAAACGCATTCTAAGCAGAATTTGGCGGTAATATGTGCTTCACGTAGCTGACGGACCATACTCATATTAAAATTCTTGATGGTCCCATCAAAAATTTTTGTACGTTCATGTTGCTTTCAGTGCGATTCATGATGGTCCAACATCGTTTGATGGTCACCATCATTCAACATTTTCCATTATGCGTTCATGTTGTTTGATATGCCAACAAACTTCCATCATTCCATGATGGAAAATTCTACTCTAATACTATGATGGTTAATCATCAAGAGAAATTTGATTCTCATGGAACAACAATCCATGATAATCCGTGATGTTTTATGATGGTTTAATGGAAATTCTTGTTGGTTCGCATGAATATACCCTCAAAACAATTTGGTTTCTTATTTTTTTGTTGGCCCATCATAAATCAGTCCGAATTTCACCATTATGATGATTGTTCATGATCGTTCCAACATTTGATTTCTAAGAAATTATGATGGAAATTTCTGATGGTTCAACATAAAAAAACCATCAAAACAAGTTGCTATTCTTATGTTGAACTATCATAAATCACTCTGAATTCCTTCATTGGGGCGATGGTTACTTATGTCGGTAGCCATCAGAATTATAATAGTTCATGATAGATTTATTGATGGTTACCATCAAGAATATGTTGATCCATCAATAGAAAATCATTAAAAATTTTGAATTGGGCAGCAAGTTTTTAAAATGTTACTTGATACCTTCTTCTAACAATGTGAATTAAATTTTTTTTTCTTGATTTGTACCCAGATATTGAAAATGTGTCTGTTGATGAACCCATTATGTTTGATGGTAAAACATTTCTCAAGTTCCCTAACAAGCTTTTTACAAGGTAATTTACATTTTTATAATATGCTTATTTTATTTTATAATATGTTCATTTTATTTTATCATCAATCTGCTTGTCGAATTTTAATATGTTTTACCAAATTAATTTGACTTATTTTTTTTAAAAAAAATGTTCTTTTTTCTGTCAATAATGGGAAGAAAAAAATAAATAGCCCAGCATAATTTTATTTTAGTAACTTTTTTAAGAAAATCTTTAATCCTTTTCTTCAAATTTATTATTATTATTTTTTTCAAAATGATCGCATGTGGCTGAAGTTATTCAGATTGAAATTTTTTTTTTGATGAAAGAAAACAATAGTGCGTGATGATACTCACCTTTTGCAAGTGTTTTTTTTTTCAAAATGATTTAATTCTATAATAAATGCTTGTATGGGTCTTAACTTGTAGTTGGTTACTTTATTTATTTCTCTTATTTACTGTAATTTTATTTACTTTTTTACTTATTGCAATTTTATTTATTTTTTTAAAAATTTGTCTTTTTTTAAGTGTGAGGAAAAAATAAACTAATATAATTTTATGTTGGTAAAATTTTTAGCGAAATCTTTCATTCTTTTTTTCAAATTTATTTCTTTTTCACAAGGAGAACACGTAGGCTGTAGCTGTTTAGGTTGACTGTCTTTTTCTTATTAAAACAATGGTGCTCGACGATATATATATATGTAGGAAGCGTATTCCATACGTCATGCACACATACATATATCATTGCGCACCTTCCCCACGCATATCATGGCGCACACCCTTCCCTCCCCACACACATCGTATGTGATGGTAGCCGACGAGGCAGACGGCCTCTTCTAATAAGTTAAGTGTCTTGTATTTTGTGTATTGTCCAGTGTTATGTCCTATATGTGAATAAATGTTACTTAACGTAGTTCTGATGTTCCTTGCCTTCCCCCATATTTTGGGGGCTCGGCCTTCCCTCCTGCAATCCTAAGACAACAATACCCCTAGATACCTGAAGCTGTCGAAAAATAAAATGCACCAAAGACGTTCTACATTTTATTTTGATGAATTGCATTAAGACGTTAACAAACAGACGTATTGTGTGAGTGAATCAAGAATTGAAGTTCTTCAACTGGACGATATGTTACAATATTTTTTTTTTGACAGACGGACTGCACCCAATACCAAGGTAGGCGAAATTTTATTAATTTCGTATTCAGAATTTTTATGTTAAATAGAATTGAATTCAAAAGATTAGTAATNATGATTTCTTACTATAATAAAAGTCTGTACAGTTTGTAACTTGTAATTGGTGCATAGATCTGAAGTATAATTTACTTGTAGGTTATTCACTGACGGCCACAACCGCGTTGAAGTAACTTTTCGAACAGATTCTACTGATGGTCTTATTTTATGGTCCCATGAAGATGTTTCAACTATTGGTGATTTTATGGCCCTTGCTGTAGAAGATGGTTTTCTTGTGGTGAGTTTCAACTCAGCTGGAAACAGAGAACCACTTCTAATCAAACACAACATCAGGATCAATGACGGCGATTGGCACAGGGCTGTGATTGACAGGTAAATATTACTTCTGTGATATATTCACAGAGAAAAATATAATCTTCTCAGTTCAGCAAGGTTTTCGAGAAATTATTTTTTTAAACGCAAAACTTTTTAAAATTGAATTACTTAGAAACTATTCAAATGGCATATTTCATTCAAATTTGGTAGTTTGTTTATTTAAAATATATAAAAATATGAATACCCTCATATTAAATTTTTTTTGCTTATTATTAATTGAAATAATATAAATAAAATTATCATTGTTAAAAAATACTGCTAAAAAATTTAATCATCACTGTTAAATATCACTGCCAAAAAAATTAATCAGTGTTAAAAAATACTGTTAAAAAAATTTAATCATCATTGTTAAATATCACTTTCAAAAAATTTATAATTGTTTAAACAAATTGTTTGCCAAAAATTTTTTCAAATATGCTTTCGTAATTTGCTGCAACAATTTTTCGATTCCCTTAAAAGTTTCGAAATATAGTGGAATACTAAAAATATAAAATTAACGTCCAAGGGCCAAATATAATATTTTATCTTATATTAGCTTACATATAACTTTATATCGTATAAGTAAGGCTATATATTGACTTGGTTTATATTACCTTATAATATGTAGGGCTACGGTCCCTGGTCAAATTATTAGACGCACTATAAGATTCTATGTAAAATCTTAATTATCAGTTGATACAATACAGCTTTATTGTTTTTAAACAACTGAAACCGGTTTGCACTTGTTTGTGTTCGTGTATCAATGGGTTAACATTGTAATGCAATACGTTCAAAATAAATGCAAATGGAAAGTATATAAAAAATCTCCTGAATAAAAACCCATGACATGTATGTTTAAATACAAAAGTATTGCCTATAAACTCGTGCAAAACATGTCATTGTTAAAACATTACAGTGTGTCTAATAATTTGGTCTAATTATTACAATATAATAATATAATACCTGGTATATTAAGTATTCTATATTTATATAATTTACCGTCTCATTTATCCAATCGTCGAATTAATATTATATATCGTCTAATTTAACCAATTGATACACGAACGTAAACAAGTAAAAAACCGGTTTCAGTCGCGTAAAAACAATAAAATTGTGTAGTGTCACCCGATAATTAAGATTTTACATAGAATCTTAAAGTGCGTTTAATAATTTGACCAGGGACTGTATATATTAGCTTATTATATATTAGTTTATATTTAGGGTTATATCTAAGTCTATCTTATGCATTCTTTTTATTAATTTTTTAGGAATAATCGCCATGGTATGTTGCAAGTAGATGACAATACCCCAGCCGTTGTAACATCCACACCTGAAACTAAATATCTAAATACCGATGGTGTACTTTGGATAGGTAAGTAGAATCTTTGACCACTTAAACATAGAAAGAGGAATAGTCGAAACATTTTCTTATTCATAATTCTTTGGAATATTCTCTACAATCAAATCTATAGAATGAATCAGAAATCTTAATTATCTTTAAATAAAATCTTCAATAAAAATCTTACCACTTTTTTGAAACAGTTTTACGCAAAGTATTAAAAATATTTTTTGATTGATTACTTTGAACAACTTATTAAAAATCAGTACTTCTAATAAATGTTAACAAATTATTTAGATTTATTTTAATTTTGGAATACAACAGTACTTAACACTAGAAAGACTGAAACTTAGTATATATACCTACGTATATTGCCCAAAAGCAGTCAAAATGACTGGATTGTGAAAGAATAACTATTGTGTAAAGTAATTTGTTTAAAATTAATTTTTAATATTTTTTACAGTTATATAACAAGTTATTACTAAATACTAAAAATAAAAAAAATTATATGTTGCACAAAAAGTCACAAAATTCTAAGAAATTGTGTCATTATATACATCGTTGTTTTTCTAATTGAAATTAAAAAACAGTCAAAAGGACTTCCTTGGACAATCTAGTGTTAAATTGCTTTTTTTGTAATATCTACACACATTTTATGTAACATTCGCATCATTTTGTAAAATAAACGCAACTATTTTAAAAAAGATATAAAAAAAATACTTGCATTTCTGATACTATTTTTAAGTATTAAAAAATAAAAAAATAATTCAAACGTTTAAATGAATTATAATTTTTAAATGCTTGGAATTCACGATTCATTTAAACCACCTATTAACCCATAACATCTCTAGAACAATTTTTCTATGGTATTTTGTAAGCAAATATTAAATGTGATAAGATCAATTCGCTAATTATTTTTTTTTCATAAAAAACTATCTAAAATCTGTTTTTCTTTTAAGTTTGGAAAAATGTTTCAATTTCTGAACACGAATTGTATATAGCCAAAAATAATCAAGGAGGAATAAACATTTTAAGTAATATCAAGGTCCATTTTTAAAACGGGAAAACTACAGATCGATTTGAAATCTCGTATTCATACATTTTAAATCTAAGAAAGAGTAACGTTTTTTTATTTTAAAATATTAATTCAGTTTTTAAAAGTGACGATTGCCTTAAACTGAACTTTTCATTCTGAATACATGACTCCAATATTTATTTTTCGGAGAAACATCTGAAAAGAAAGCAGCTTAAATTTAACTACACTCTCAAATTTTCACAAAGATGGTAGCATTTAAAGAACTATCTTGGCGGTCTTAGTAACATGTTTGTTAAATTAGCTCTAAAAGGTTTTTCGTAAATCAAATTTTCTTGTTATAAAGTAGCTCTGAACCTCAAATTTTTAAGAATTCACTAAATAAAGAAAATAAAATATGTATATTTTAAAGAGAAAAAGGGGAAAAATTTCTAGCAAATGATTACAGACGCGAGTTCGAAACGTTTTTCTAAGAGTTTCGATTTTAAAACTGATTGTCGATTCTACCACAAAAGAAACTTAGAGTTCTAACTTTTTTCAGTGTAATATTTACTTAAGATATCTGACTAGGTCAAATACATGATTTTGGGCAAGACTTTCGAAATTGATTTTCATTATAAGTTTAAAACCCCTGTACTTTTAGGTTCTAAAAATTTTTTACTTTTGTTTGTACTCCAGTTATTTACAAAGTAATAGCAGTTTTTGTGCAAGATGATAACAGTAGATAGACTAATGATTTAAAATATTTAAATGCACTTATCTCAAAACTAAATTTCTTTCACATTTTGCAGCACCTTAAACACGATATCTCATGTTATTTTTAAAATTACTATCTACAATTTTTCATGAGTGCTTATGATTATAGTACACATGTTTCGAACTACAGACTAAAAGAAAAAAGCAGAATTTCGTTTTTTATGCATATTTTTCCGCAAAGGAATGTTAAAAAAGTTTTAAAAATTTGTTTTTTCAACTGCATTGACCCCTAACTCAGTAGTATATGCATTTGCTTTTAAGATAATAGTACAAAATATTGTTGATGGCCTTCTAAATATAATCCTCAAAGGATTTTCAATTTTAAGCGATGGAAAAATCTGTACAGTGTTTTGCGTACATGCAAAAACAAATTTCGCATTTTTGCTTAAAAATGGCCATTTAAAATAAATAATAATAATGATTTTTTTGCTAGTTTTACAAGTTTTTATACATAATAAAAAAATAAACTAGTTTTTTTTTTTTAAATTTTATAAAAATGTTGTCAAAACTAGTCGGATGCCTTACAAATTACAATTTTAGTTAGTTCGGAGTTGTTACAAGTTGCAAGTTGCATGCAAAATTAGTCTTCAAGTTGATATGGGGTTTTCAAATATTTAAAAATTGAAAGCGTCAAATGTATTTAATTGATTGCATTAATTTCGTAACTCATTTGCTAAGCATTCATTCTTTCCTCCATTTTTTTTCGAACAATTCTCTTTCAAAAACCAAGGGGTCAAAATTGAAAACAGCGTCCATATCCTCAATGTTAACCTCAAATTGACACTTAATACTACGCGTATCGCGTGCTCTAACGATGATATAAACCTTTTTTTTCTGTTGCCATTTAATAGTTTAAAAGCTTTATTTTAAATAAAAATAAGTAAAAATTAAAGCATTTCCAGTTTTTAGTCCAAGTTCAATAGAAACTGAACTAGATCACCAAATCAACAATCCGTATTTTATCTCTTTCAGGAGGTTGCTCCAATCTACCTGCAGGTCTGAATAATGCATACTACAAGGGCTTCATAGGATGCATTCACTCAGTCATTGTGGATGGAGAGGCCTTAAAAATTGCAACTCACGGTACAGGACAGTCTTGCCCAATCACGTGACGACATCTAAATTATCCTTAAGTTTTACTTTTTAGAGTGGTGCTACATTCTGGATTCCAAAACACAGAGATATTTTATTTCATCCAAAAGATAAGTTATGTAAATATCGATTATATCCCATATACTAATAAATTTCCACAATGATTTTATTTTTAACCCTCTAACTGTCGAGTTATATAAGAAAAGTTTTTACATAATCTCCTGCTGTGCAGTGTTCCTTCTTATGAGAATAGTGGGCTAAGCCCACTGCTCGCAACCCCGTTGATTGCCTAGCAATAATGGCTGTTTTTTGGCATAAAACAGCTGAAATTATTAAACCGAAAATATATGTAATAAAAAGACCCACTTTCCACGTCTAAATGTTCCCCTGATGATACTGTTAAGATTTTAAGTGAACATAAATCATTTTTCTAGGTAATCATTTTTTGAAATAAGATTTGAAATTAAATTATTATTACTATGGTTATAAAAAAATTTCGAAATCACAACTATGATTTAATAATTTTGCTTAACAAAGGGATGGATGCATTTTAAGGAAAATTTATGCCGACCCGCCCTCATTTGGGCATACGGAGGAACGACCCGTCGCCACGACAGTCCCCGTGAAAGAACCGCGATCCGTCCACCAGCGCATGCACCCAATCGCGTGACCAGCTCGGCTAAGCCACTTCCGTGGCACTTATTTAAAAGAAAACTAAATTACAAAAGCTGATGGCAACAGCAAAATTAAACGCTCCGAGAGTTCCGTCTTATAGTGCCGTAGCCGACGGAACCTCCCTTATAGTGAGCATGACATGTTAAACGAAAATAAAAGTTAAAACATCAAATAATACACATTAACAAAATATCGTGGTTGTTAGCAGATTTTGCCCAAAGTGCAAGTTGTACAACAAGCATTGGAGCAATAGAACAATGAAACAAACAGCAAATAAAATCAATATAAAGTCAATACCAACACAAGATAAAATAAAGCTAAGGTAATGACAGTGAGATCACAACCTCACCGATCCAGACAGGGTGTCTGGAACCGAAGAAGCCGACGACAAAAGGAAGCATACATTAAAATCAGGGGTGTATAGAACCAGCAAAACCGCAGAGGAGGGAAGTAAAACAGATAAAATGACAAAAGTCGAAATGTTTAAAAGCATCAAAGTTAGAATATGCAAAAGCAGTAAAAGGGCAAAAGAGCAAAGATAAGCGTAAGTTATATCATAAAATGCAATGAAAACAAAAGGATAAAATCAGTGTACAATAAAATGGTGACAGATTAGCTGAAATTGAACAGGAGGGCAACCCAATGACCGGAAAGCTGCAGTTAACTCGTGTAGAGGGGATCCATAAGATCATCAGGGGTAAGGGCATCTTCTGAGGTGCGTTTGATAATTTGTTTTTGTTTATTTGTCGTACACCAGGATCTCGTATCACATCTATTGTTGAAGTAATTTCCCCTGAGAGTTGCAAACTTTCCACATTCAATGATTAGTTGTTTAATTGACTGGTGACAGTCACAATATTTGCAGGTAGAAGATTTATGGAAAATTCTGGCGTGATGTTCGCCAAAGATCCCGTGGGATGTTAAAAATTGGTTAAAATAGAAGTCAGAGGATAAAAAACGCTCATTAATAACGAGGATCAGGTAATAAGTACGCCTTCCGTTCAAAGAGTTGCGTCACCTGTCCTTCCATAAAACCCTACTGACCTACCTCTGCCTGCACTTAATCTGGGGCTTAGTTAAAGGATAGTAGAAGTCTACCTCGCCTAATAACATGCCATTCTTAGCCAAACTATCCGCTTCCTCGTTGCCAGGCTCCCCCGAATGAGCTTTAATCCAATTGAGCTTTAATCCAGAACAGTATTTGTTTTGAACCATTTCTTTAATTTCCTCAATGATCGGAATTGGGTTTTCGAGGGCCTGCAACGAGGATTTTGAATCAAAAAAAAATATTGAAATGTTGAATATTTTTATCTTTTGCCCAAAGGGTTGCAAGTTTAATTGCTGTTAGTTCGGCGGGGTAGACGCTAGACTCATTGTTTAAACGGACAGAGTGTTCATATATGGTTTGATTGTTGAATTTTACTAGTAAACCACAACCCACACGATCTTCAGTGTTGCCCGTAGTTTGGTTTATTATTTGTTTTTTACTACCGTTGGTGTAAATCTCATAACCAAGTCCCCTCGGTGAGCTGAAACCCCTGATGACTACCTTTAGTTTTGCAGGATTGTAGATAGGGACTGAGCTTGGATTATATTGTTTTAGCTCATCAGTTTGATAATCAGTGTCGAAGTTATTTTGAGGAGTCCAGGTCTGTCTTTTAATTGAAATTATTTCCCTAATCTTTAGATCAATTGGAATGACACCGGCTAGGATTTGTAGTGCCTCCGTACTGGTGGCAGAGTAACATTTAGTTAAGTTAAGTAGTGGGATTCTTTAAATGCTTTTACGTTTCCTGTTCATTTTGACATTGTTTTTATACCACACGGAGGCACCATATGTAATTTTCTTTTCGATTGCTTGAAAGTAAATGAGTTTTAGAAGGTTCGAACTCAGTCCCCAGGTAGCCCTACTAAATTGTTTAAATCTGTTATAAAACGTAATGATGTCAATTCTGAGTTGCTCAAGATGAGGGGCTTAATTCAACCGAGGATCGAGAACCACACCGAGGTATTTCAATGCACATTTTCATTTTTGATGTAAGCGGTTCTGGTACCTTCCATACTTATACATGGTGACCTTTTTATGCATTTTGAATCTTTTGGAAAAGTGATCAGCTTGGTTTTATCGGGTGCAAATTTCTAGCTGTGATCCCTAGCCCAATTAATTAAGACCTGAATGATACCAGACCCCAGTTTGTCAATGCGATATAAGATAGAATGTTTCATCAAAAGAAAGACGTCATCAGCAAAGGCCAGCAGGTTACAATCATTAAAATGAAACTCATTTAAAGGAGAATTGATTAACAAAGTTAACCACGGCGTTTAAAGGCTTCGTCCGTCTCCCTGCCTCTCCAGAAGCCATGTAGGTTTACATTTAGCTTCTTATTAATTTCAGGAAAGTAAACTAGACTCTCGGTTAACAGTCTATCCAATATTTTTCCCCAGGTAGAGAGCAGGAAGATCGGGCGATATCCCTGTGGTAAACGGGGGTACTTTCCCTGTTTAGTAATAGACTGATGAGTGCGGTTTTCCAACAAGTCGGGGAAGCACCCAACTGAAAGCATTCATTGAGGACCGCCCCAAACCAGTCCTTATTGCGATAGAAGAGTTCTCTGTACACCTCAGCTGGAATGCCGTCTGGGCTGGGAGATTTATTGGGCTTAATACTTCTTATGATGTGCTCAATTTCGGTTACAGTGAAACAGTCGTCAACAATGCCGCTAAAGTTAATGTCGACATCAGCGTTCCGAGTCGTTGGAAAATGATGATTCAAGATATTGATAATTGATGCTTTATAGTTTGTTGTTTCAATACCATCCTTATTGACGGTGAGGGTATTGTTTTGCTTCCTGATGTTAAGGTTTTTCGCTATCTTATACGGCTTGCCAAAGGCAATCCCGTTGTAAAGCTTTCAATATATCTCTTTACTTCCACTCTCTTTTGATGTCTGATCAATTTTCTATAGTTGGCTAAGTTTAATTTAAATTCAATCTGATATCTTAATCTATCTGCTGTGTTAGTACAATTCTGATATCTACGTGTCATGGCTCTCACACGTTTTCTTCTGATTGTTAGTTCATCGGACCACCAAAAATTGTTTGTTTTATGGTTGAGCCCGCTCGACTTAAGAGTTACCCGTCTGCAGATGGTAGCAAAATCATTTGTGACATTGACAATACATCTGTTTAATGTAGCTTGATCATTGATAGCGCTCGGGTCATAACGTTTAATTTGGTTCGTTAACCCCGTCTTAAGACTGATCCAATTTAGTTTATTATGATAAAATCGTGTTACCCTATTGTGGTCAGTGCAGCTCTGCAATATTGTGTCAGGAGTGTAGGTGCAAGTTCATGGACGGAGGCAGTAATTTTATCCGCGGCACCGTAATTGCGAAAAAGTGTATTGTTTGTAATCATTAGGTCTATCCAGCTTTGACCCTGAGGTGTACAGTAAGTAAGTTGGGGGACATGTTGGATCATTTAAAATGATTAGATCAAATTGGTTTACAAACTGCAAAACTGGCTCGCAACGGTTCACTATGTTACCTCCCCAAACTGGTTATTTGGCGTTGAAGTCACTAGAAAACAGTAACGCACGGTTAGTGTAGCGGGCAGCCAAGGACTCTAGTTTTAAAATATAGGGCTCAATTTTGTCGCTAGGAGGAATATAAATAGCTATAAAAAGGTGTTGACTAGAGCCGTAGGTAAAGCCAATTGCCTGAATATTCTGTTCACTAAGAATACTAAAATCCTCAAGGTCTGTACGATTAATTAGGATAGCCGCTTTTGGCTTATCGGTAGTTGCATAGATCTTAATATTACTGGAAAAATCAGTGATATAAAACTGTTGGTTACAATAAGGTTCGTTAATTCCGACGATATCGAGATTTAACTCTGAGATATCGTGGTTTAGTTGAATACTCACAGTCCTGGACCGAGGGAGATTGAGGAGGCCGAATTTTAGGGGTGCTTGGTGTCTGTTAACCATAATTTGTTCTCTTAGACTGTTGTTCCCTAGTTCGGATTAATTGGTAGCATTGGTTGTCAAACGGGTTGTATTTTGACCTCTCGTGCGTTGTTCTGTACCTACTGTTGGCTGTTGCGCAATATAAACAATGCTCACAGTTTGTGCAATCTCTTTCTTGGTGGCCACGCTGTGAGTAATTCTTAAAAACCTTTTCTTTTGTACAGTCCCGGGCCAAGTGACCGAGTTCAGAGCACTTGAAACATTGTCTTATTCTCAGATACTCCTGGAAATAGTGTCGTCGCCACTTTACGTTTAGTTTATCCATATTCATGATCTTATTGAAAGAGTTTGGATTAACTTCAACGACCCAATTATTTCTGTCCCTGCCTGCTCACAAAGGGAACTTAATATCAAAGTCTTCGTTGTCTATTATATCATTCTGGTTCACTAAAGCCTCCCTCAAGTCCTCTCTGTTTACGGCCTCGTCAACTCCAAAGATAATTATGGATGGGTTGACCACTTTTGGTCTTGAGATGTTATAATTCTCAGTTAGGTTGTTACCACTGAATTCTTGTTCAAAGATCTGCAATTCTCTTTCGCTGTTGGTCTGGATCAGGACACCACCATCCCTTATCTTCACTCCAATTTTCAGCTTGTTCGGATCAGGCGCTGATAAAATCACTTTTAGTTTGATCCGAAGTCGTATTATTTGAGGCTGGTCTAATCAGTATTATGTGATCTCTGGTTCTTGGTTTTTTGTTTGTAACAAACTCGTGTCTCTTATTGTTCTTCAAAGCATCAGCATAGGTTCCGATCACCAGTGCTCGCCACATCCATAATTGCATTCTCAGTTGTGTCTAGTTGTTCCGAAGCTCTATCCAACTGGTGTTTCATCACGGCAAAGTTTGCGTCTTGTTTGCTAATGATCACAAGTAAATCGTTAACTGTCCTGAGCATTTCCGCCCTATACACAATCGCTATCTGACATGTAGACTTGTGTAAAATATTGTAGATCTTAGTTTGGAGCTGTTCGCCATCAGTCATAAAATGAGTATCAATCGGACCTTCCCCCTCTCCCTCGGTCACAGTAACCCCAATAAACTCATTCCTCTCGACGAAAGGTTGATCATCAGTAAAAGTGAAACAGTATAAAAGTCACTGAAAGTTAGGGCTAAACCAAGACAAAATGGTCAAAGCTAAAACCACACTAGAAAGTTAAATATAGAGTAGGTAAAAGAAGAGATTGTAAATAGCAAAGTTAAAATGATAAAATCAGTGCAAAAGCTAAGTTAAACCAAATACAATAATAAAATCAAAATCAATTTAAAAATTACAGTATTTAAATCTTAAAAGTTAACTAATCAATGCAGCAGTCAAAATGACCGCTTATCATTACATATATCAGCAAACTGGTTTAATGTTTTATTGCAATGACAAAAAACTGACATTCACGGTGAAAAGTTCCATAGTGTCGGGAAGCAGCTCGATTGGCGTAACAAATCACACCATATCTCAGAAGCAGAAGTAGTAGCCCCGAGCTATCGGCTGGGATGTTCCACTGAGTCCGGCGGAAGGTGCCGCGGTGACGGATGCATTTTAAATACAATTTTTGCATTCATCGCTTTGTGCATGAAAGTTAAGCTCTAAATCATTTAACGAATCTCCTTAACCGGAATTCTTGTTATGTAATTTGCACCAAAAATTAATAATTGTGAAACGGATAAGATCAGACACCGATTTGAATAACTTTGTCTTTAAATGTGACGAAGAATTACATTATTCTAATAATAATAATAACAATCCTCCTAAACTCTTAATTTAAAAAATCAAACAAAATCAAAACTTTTATAATAACAGCACATGTAATTAGGGAAACACCTTCAAATTAGGGAAACAGAAATATTTATAGGAAAACAATATCTTTTAGACTTATGCCAATTTTATGTTGGTGACAACCAAACCAATATGAAAATTAATGTGGGAAAACTGGATCATACCATGTGATTTTCCAGCCAATAAAAATGAATTGACAACAATGGAAAACTGCGACACCATCATTAGATTTTTATCTGTGGTGAGAAACATAATCTTATTAACATAAAATTGAGTTGATTAATATGAAAATGAACTGGTTAGCAGAAAGAAATTACGGGTTTCAACCTGAATTCATATTGGAATCTGCAGTTAGAGGATTAAAATATAGATACGTTTTTTCCCCTAAAAGCAAATAAAAGCTGAATTTAAAAAAAATACATGAAGTATTCTCTAATCATCACGCTTGTCGTGAATTTCTGGAATCTTTCTCAGTATGATAATAAAATTAGGAATCCTCCTCATATATGATGATAAAATTTGGAATCCTTCTCAAATATGATAAAATTTGAAATCCTCCTCAAATATAATGATAAAATTTGGAATCCTTCTCAAACATGATAATAAAATTTGAAATCTTCTTTAAATAAAATGATAAAATTTGGTATCCTTCTCAAATATGATAATAAAATTAGGATACCTTCTCAATTCTTAATAAAGTTATCTTAACTAATAAATAACCTTTATCAAGTGATCCCAACATGTATTTATTAATAACTTCAAGTATATTCTGTAGCTCATACTGTTAGAAGATAATTTAATGGTTAAATAATATTTGTTAAAAATATAAATTCATTATTTTGATTGTTCAGCAATTTATTTTTAAGGACATACAAATATATTAATTTAGGGGTAAAATACGCAAACAAACTATTTTTTACTAAAATTTGAACAATCTCTCGAGTTATTAATCAAACGTCGCTTTTCTTTTACTTTATTGTATCCCGTTATACATTATTCTGCACTCCTTTATAATTTCAAGTTTCTAAATCTTAATCTTATAGTCTGTCACGCAGTTAAGAAAGGTTACGTAAATGATTGATATGAAAAAAATTTATATTTTTGTTGAGGATTCAAAAATAAACATTAAGTGAGGTGATTACAGAATTTGATGTATTAATCAAATAATCTTGGTAATATTTTTCCATCACCTCTTCTTTACGTATGTTAATTTGATATAAAAGAAAAAGTTGTATATCTGACCGAATATATTTTCAATAAATGTTTTTAAAATGGCTTAATATTAATCTATGAATTAATTGAATTGCATATAATACTTCATTAAAAAAAATAATTTTCACATGTTTTACAGCTTTTACTTCGCACTATAAAGAGAAAAAAAAAACAATTTCGGCATGAAATAATGGAAATTGCACAATGTGGCCTTGTATATAGAATAACATTTTGTGAATTAAAATAAGAGAGTTTATTTGTAAATTTTTGGAAAAGACGAACTATGTGCACATTTTGTAACATAAAAATGTTTCGTTTGACTCAATGAAAATGCATAGTTTTAAAAAAAAATGTTGTTTATAAATAAAATTATTTAAAAACTGTGTATTTTTTATTTACACTCATAGCTGCATATATAGCTCGTTCATCAGGAGTTTTCAATTGGCTCCGCCTTCATCACGTGGTATGCGATAATACTATTTTGCTATTTTTGAGAGAAGGGTTGTGAGCAATCTTGAACAAGGTTGCTATTTGGCGATCGTATGGCAAAAATATTTATTTAGTAAACTTTATCTGCATTTTTTTAACATAGAATATTTCATAAATTTAATGATATTTCGTGGCCTTTTTTATGATATTTCTCTCTTTTGAGTGAATAGTTTGTCCTCTTTGAGACATTTTGCTGGGAAAACAGCAGTTTTTAAATTTAAAACATATTTACATAGCTAGAGAAACAAAAGGTGTAATAGCAGATGATAAAGCGAAGTAAGTGACTGAAAAATAAGTCACTGTTTGTGTTTGGCTCGCAATTAGGGTTGTATTAAATTTTAAGTGCGGACATGTTTCTCATCTTACTCCCGCGCTGAAATGAACTCTGTGTCCAAAGTGGTGGAGCCAAGTGCCAACTCCTGGTGAATGAACTATACGCATACACACAAAGGATGTATGTGTATAGTTCATTCACCAGGAGTTGGCACTTGTCAAAAGAGCTTGGCACTTGGCTTTCAAGTGTTGCGAAATCAAACACTTGAAATCAACAATATGGTGTCATCACTTCAAATATTTCTGGGCAAATTTTCTTTAATTTTTATAAATCTTTATTAAAATGCTATTATAATAGTTTTAAATTGCTTGCTTTTAATAGTTTCAAATTAATTGCTTTCATTAGTTTTAAATTAAGTGCTTTTAATAATTTTAAATTAATTGCTTTAATCATAATCTGAATTTTAGTGAATTCTCAGTGATCTAAACTAATATTGCAAAATAATAATAAATAATTCTGGCATTATCGTGATTACGTCTCCTAAACAACGGTAGTTAGTTCAGACAGTTATTTCTGCAATAATAATAAAAATAATAATAATTAATTAATAAAATAATTGGACTTAATCTGTTTCCATTTCATTTTGGAGGAATATTCACGAGCAGCACAAAAATATTCAAAAGTTTGGGAGAATATTCACAAGTTCAAGAGTTGTGGAATAGGCATTTGTGGATTTAACGCACGGCTTAACTTTCGCTTTTTACCATGTAATGTAACAATTTACCATGTACCTCAAACTGAACTTGTATGCCTAGCATTTACGTTAGGCTTAACTAGACCTGAATTGTATGCTAAAAAGTAATTTTGTAATTATATTCCTTAATAGTAGTCTAAGAAAATCAGTCAACCGAAAATTTTGTTAGCAGCTGAAACAAAAACAAGTTCAATGGGAACAAGCTATACATAAACAAATCCATGTAGGATATGGTAAAAAATAGGTAACAAGGATGAAAGTAAAGTATTAAATAAAGGTTAAAAAAAGTATTAAGTACTCAAATTCGAAATTATATATCAAACTCAAATCATCACATCATACTCAACCATCTTATCTCAGTTGAATCATCATATTATACTCAAATTCAAATATCGAAAACATGTCGGGACGAAGATAGTCTATAGAGAAAGTCACCCCAAATATTGCAGGCAGCATTGAATGTGTCTAAAATGAATAACTTTGAATTTATAAGGTCTATATTATGTTATTAAATTCCAAGTTAGGCTTATATAGGTCTTGCATAAATTTTAAATAGCCATGATAAACTTACTTAAATGATAACCAACCCGTTAAAGATACACGGAATTCCAATTACACTTAACTTGAAGTTCGTGTAAATAGGCCTAAATTATATTTCTAACCCCAATCATAAATATAGATAAGCCCATACTTGAAACAGAGGTGATATATTAGCGTTATCTAGGCTTGAAATTTAATTTCTAGCCATATAAAACTTAGCCAAAACCAAATCGATAAGCGACACTTAAATGCCCTGTTAGGATTTAGCGTATTAGGTAGCCTTAACATAATCATGGATGAAAACTTCGATTTATCTAGGTCTAAAAATCGATTCACAAGTGCCATTGGCCTTAACTAAGTCTTAAATTGTCTTTCGAACTAAAATGTTATATATGGCTAAGACTTACTATGACAATAATTATGCATAAGTTCAAGGCACGACTATCATGTTAGGCTTAACTAGGCCTTAAATGATATTTCTAACCAATTTTAGGTACAGCTGAACCTAGACCTCAACATTTGGCAATAATAGAATACGTTTTAGACTTATTTGGCTTTAAGTGAGTGTCCATGATCTATTCTAGGATTAGCTACAAATAAAATACATGCCTGTCCACCTTGTTCGGTTTAGCATGAACTTAATAATAAGTCTAACATTATTATAACCTTAGATAAGCATTTGAACTGTCCCCTAGAGAAAACGCAAATGCTATGTTAGGTATAGCTCCGACTGAGTTATTTTCTTACCCCCCTTAAAATGGTTAGCTAGGCCTGCATTTATGGCCTAACCATTCTGTTAGGCTTAGATAAGCCGAAACCTATTTACTCGGCAAAACACAAAGGCCGTGATATGCTTAATAAGGTCTAAACTGTTTCTCTTACCAATACATTAGGCTTAGCTAAGCCTTAAAAACCCTTGTTTAGGTACACACGAACGCCGTGTTAGGCTTAATCAGGCCTTTATTATTTTTATACTATGTTAAGCTTATATAAATATGTTAGGTTTATACTAAGCCAAAACTTTACTTGACACTAAACGAAGGTCAAGTTAGGCTTAAATAGCCCTAAATTATTTTCTTAACCCCTTAACGATCGGTTAATTTTTAAGAAAATGGTCATAAAAGTACCTAATTGTTTGGCTTTTGTATTTGTATTACGCATTTGATTAGTTCTGCAACTAGTTCAAAATAAACTAACTATCTACAATTACCATAAAAATATCCTGGTCTGCCATCAGGTATGTAAAATGAGAAATAAAATGTTTTCCGGGCAAAAGAAATGAATTAGTTTTATTCCTATTGGCTCGTTACTACTGAACACTCCAGCCTGTCAATATCACGGGAGAGAGAAATAGCGGGCGAAATCTCACCCCGTCATTTTCACGGGAGCGAGAAGGAAAGGGATAAAAACACATTAGGCTTAGCTAAGCTTTAAAACTCCCCTTTTAGGAAACACGCGAGAGCCATGTTAGGCTTAACGAGGCCTTTTTTTTATTTTTTATACTACTATGCTAGGCTTCTTTAAGCCTATACCTGTCTACTTGACACCAAACAAAGGTCAAGTTAGGCTTAATTAGGCCTAAATTATTTTCTTAAAAACACATTAGGCTTAGCTAAGCCTTTAAACTCTTTTTTTATTTACACACGATCGCCATGTTAGGCTTAATTAGGCCTAAATTGTTTTCTTAAAAATTCATTAGGCTTAGCTAAGCCTTAAAACTCTCTTTTTAGGTACACACGAACACAATGTTAGGCTTAACGAGGCCTTTATTATTATTTATACTATGTTAGGCTTCGCTAAGCCTAATCTTGTCTATTTGTCTCTAAACGAAGGTCAATTTAGGCTTAATTAGGTCTACATTATTTTTTCAAAGATGCTCATTAGGCTTAGCTAAGCCTTAAAATCTCCTTTTAGATATACACGAACGCCATGTTAGGCTTAACTAGGTCTTCATTATTTTATATACCAATAAGTTAGGCTTATCTAAGCCTAAACCTGTCTACTTGGTAATAAACGAAGGCCAAGTTAGGCTTATTCAGGCCTAAATTATTTCTTCTTAAAAACACATTAGGCTTAGCTAAGCCTTAAAATTCTCCTTTTAGCTACACACGAAAGCCATATTAGGCTTAACTATTCTTTAATTGTATACATTATATTATAAGGCTTACGTTAGGCTTAACTAGGCCTTAGTTATTGTTATACCAGTATGTTAGGCGAAACTAAGCCTGAATCTGTCTAAATGACAATGCACGAAGATCATGCTAGGCTTAACTAGGCCAAAATTATTTTTCTTAATAATACATTAGGCTTAGCTGAACCCTAAAAATCTAGCTATAGCTACATACGAACGCCCTGCTAGGCTTAACTAGGTTTTTATCATTTTTATACCAATATATTAAGCTTAGCTAAGCCTAAACTTGTCAACTTGGCAATAAACGAAGGCCAAGTGTTAGGCTTATCTAGGGTAAATTATTTTTCTTAAAAACACATTAGGTTTAGCTAAGCTTTAAAATTCTTCTTTTATATACACGCAACCGCCATGTTAGTCTTAACAATTCCTTAATTACATACATTATTAGTGCATTCTGACCGAACCATCTGACTAAGGGTTGTTTGAAGCTTCTTTTTAGTTAGAGGAATGTGTTCCAGTGTGGCACCGTACTCCATCCCATCAGTGGTATTTTGGCAACCACCCTGGCCTATCATTAACGCTGCGGCCTTCGGCCTTTCCAATCGGCCATGGCCAGATTTCGTAGTGGCCATCTTGAGTGTTAAAGGTTTCAAAATGGGGAGAAGACTTTCCAACCTTGTTCCTGCTCACAACCTGCTAGTCCAGATCACCTTCTTTTTTGCCTTGGCGCTCCTTTTAAGCAGCTGCTGGTTGATCGGCACTTTCTGCAGATATATGGGGAACTGACACGACGGGGCCTTTTGGACCTGGTCTAGGCTTTCCTACTCTAGGGGGATGTGTAACAACAATATTACTGCATTACATACAATATTACCATATTTGGCTTAACTAGACCTAAATTATTTTGCTTTTCAAGTTTTTAGGTATACCTAACCCTTAAATTTCTCCGTTAACAACGCACGAACTTCATATAAGGCTTAACTAGTCCTTAATTATTTTTATAAGTTAGACTTAGCTAAGCCAAAACTTCTTTAATTTGCAATATATGTAGGCATTGTTTGGCTTAACTAGGCCTAATTTGTTTTTCTTACTAATATATTAGGGTAAGCTAAGCCTTAAAGCACTCCGTTTAGCTAAGCAC